GGTTGAATGTTATGGTGATGACATGTGAACTGGCGGATACAGGATGTTTAATGCAGCCAGATAGTCTTTGCACAGCACAAACTAAAGGTATTGATTATCAATATTGGTACTTTGATTTTCCGGGATGGAAGACCTGTTCTCGATTTTCAAAAGTCAAAGTAATTGGAATTTTCCTAAAAGAAGCTACAAATGCAAATCCACCCTCCTTTGTAACACCCACAGAAGGGACAGGAACATTAATTTTACTTTAAACAGCGTGAAGTATTTGCATTTTTGTTTCTAGTGTCAGCACAGTTTTAAAATTGTTTTGAATCCAAAGAAATTGAAATGTTCCTTATAGAGGTGTCAAATGCAAATCACACCCTCCTGTGTAACACCTATTAAAGGTGCAGCAACATTTATTTTGAACCTGTTCAAGGTATTAGCATATACGTATATTGTGTCAGCAGAGTTTTTAAAATATACGCTGTATCAATCTCTCTAGTCATTTTCTCCATGGGTAAATTGTCACATGATATCTTATAAATAATTCATATATGAGTTTCATCCACTGTCAGCGCTTCAAGACGTGCTCAAGTGACAGTATGCAGCGAGCAGTGACAGCAACTGTTTTCTTCATGTCTGTACTGTCCACATGTAGCACAGAGAAATGTGGACTGCAGATAACAGCGAGGATGAAGAACAGGTCTGTCACGTTAAGAAATATTGACATCAAGTTGTGCCAAACGAAATGCACCCAAGACTCCTTCATTTTTGCATCCTGTCGTAAATTGAGTAATGAATCAAAGAAGACAGGAGAAGCCAGTATTCGCCCTAAGAATCGTACCAATGTAAGTTCTTTGATTTGTTTATTGACAATGTAGCATGTTACGCATTGTGTATAACATAGTAATTGAAGGGCATTGTTTCCGTTTAGATTCAATAGATGGCCGATGGACCAATTAGCATACAATTTATCCTTCTGGAAGATTATTGAAACTATAAAAGGCGGCAAACACATGACTCTATCATCTCACTTTGTATCAAAACCAGCGGTTGTTTGAAGATCATCTTGGCCAACTGGATATCCAGTCTGGGCATATGACGGAACACTGGTCGCTGTTGCTGCCAAGCAAATATACCTTCTGCTGACTTTAGTGGTATTATCAATGGTGTCTGATATTTCACACTGCTAATTAGTTCTGTTATATAATACTATTACCTTGCAGTGGTTTGTATTTAGTTGTACATTTAGTTATCCTTACACTACAAATGTTTATTGTACAGCAGTTCCGTTTTTGTTGGTTGAGACCAAATCCATTAGCGTACAGATTTCTGGAGGACCGTAATGTTTCAATTTTGAGATCGGCTGTTGCTATTTAGTTCAGTTATGTAGTACGATTACTTTGCGGTGGTTTATATTTAGGTGCCGTGCTCAAGATACGGTTATCTTTAGACTACAGATGTTTATTTGCAAGAGTTTCATTTTTGTTGCTTGAGCCCAAATCCATTTGCGTACAGGTTTCTCGAGGACCGTACTGTTTCAATTTTGAGATCGGCTGTTGCGTGGCTGGTTGTTTATCTACGCTGGTTTGTCGATCTTACCTAGACGCACAGAAATATCAGAGCATACCACTATATTCAGTTCTACACTACGTAGGCCCAAACGTTGCCTAATAATATCTTGAGGGCTGTTTTGTGATAATTCTGTCTATTACAGCTGCAACACTGAATTATATTGTCATTGTTTATGCTCAATCAACTAATATGGCCGGAATCGTACACAGGACATACGTCGTGGGAGATACTTCATATGATTGTAGAAACACTGTGCTGCTTTTGTATATTGCTAATGCCAAGAGATAGCAATAGATCTTCTGATCAGAAAAACCTTTGTCTACATGACTACAGAGCATACCCCGTCAGCAGCATGGTGTCACGGGGAGGACGTCACCTATAGGACGACTCTATGCTCTGCTACATGCGCCCCCGTAGGCAGAAGGCACGTCAAACTGAGGCCCCACTGTTGGGTACTAAGGATTAATTTCCTCAAATATGACATGAACGTACATACATGCATGCATACATACAAATATTTGTATAGCGCCAATATCCAGTACAACTGCTCAAAGGCGCTTTGTTTTCCCTTGATCATTAAATATCCATCAGAACGGCACATCGTTTTTTTCAATCTCAACGCCCTGGGGAGCATACAACTCTTGCTGCCTACTAGGCGCACAGAGTTAGTGTGGCTTTCCCATCCTTACAAGGTACCCATTCACAGCTGGATGGACTGGGACACATAGTCACAGTACTTTGTCCAAGTTTACTGCACGTTGCTGTGCCCGCAACTAGGTGTTTGCACGTATTCATGTGGCCACCATCTGGTCATGTACTAACGGATTAGTGGGTTCTTTTAAGTGCACAGGGTTGTGTACTGTACACTAGGGGTTGTGACAAAACTGAAAGAGTCTGCACACAAAGTTGACTCCAAGGTTTTTTACACTCGGTCACAGGTGGGCTCGATCCCGGCTCGCGGGATTACTAGCCTGGCGCCTTAGACAGCTCCATGTTGGGAGCCATCGAAACACCCCCAAAACAACAACAACCCCAACACACACACACACACCCCAAAAAGAAAATCATCCAAAGGAGTTAATCATGCCAGCAAGCGGACAAGGTGAGGATGTCATTTTTTGACCTAATGCGGCTACTATTATATTGTGTGGTAATCACACCATGAAAAAAAATTACAATTGTGTATTATCCGGTAGCCTACGATGCATGTTTGTGTAACCACTCAAGGCTTTGCTTGTTTGCTTGATTGGGTTTTATTAACTCTGCACTCAGCAACAATCCACCTATATGGCGGCGGTCTGTAACTAATCGAGTCTGGATCACACAATCAAGTGATCAACAGTATGATCATCGATCTATGCCACTGGCATACGACGACATGTGTCAACCAAGTCAGCGAGCCTCACCACCCGATCCCGTTAGTCGCCTCTTACGACAAGCATGGGCTACTGAAGATTCTAATATTAATAATAATAATAATGGCACCATGGGTCAGTGATTATGACCATGCAATTCATGAGAAAGTAACAAGGTCGTTTGTCTGTTACATCTCACCAGATTGCCTGAAAGTGTTATAAAAAAGTCCAAATCTAATACAGCTCCAGGGCCTGATGGCATTGGAAACCAGTACTGGAGACTGTTCCCCTGTGTCCAAACACTATTACTTCACTGTTTCAATTCTCTTGTGGACACAGGTGATGTTCCTCCATGGTTCTGCACAGAACGCACAATACTCCTTCCCAAAAGAGGAGACTTGACTGATCCCAAAAACTTCCGCCCTATCACATGTTTGAATTCACAATACAAATTATTCACAGGGTGTTTGACAAACCTCGTGTCATCATACCGCTCTTTAAATGATATAGTTTACAGAGTGCAGAAGGGAGCGAGAAAGGGGTGTTGGGTGTGCAAGGATCAACTTCTTTTACAGATGGGGGTAAACCAGGTGAATTTATTTACCAAGTCTGCCCAGAGTCCTTTTTTTTGTGGAGAAGGTTTCTGAGAAGCCATTGCATCCTGTGTACATGCAGTGTGTGGAACAGAATAGCAATCCCACCGACTCCTTCGCCTGGATGAAGTCGGCTGGTCTCAAATGTGAAACTGGGGGCTTTCTTTTTGCTGCTCAGGACCAGTCACTTCCCACTCGTAATCGCCAAAATGTGATTATGAAAGAAAATATTAACATGAAATGCCGACTGTGTAATGAATTTACAGAGATTGTCCAACACCTTATCAGTGGATGCCCTTCCTTGGCACTAACAGCATATCTTAAACGACATGATGGCATGGCTCGTTGCTTTTACTACCGTCGCCGCCATGTCTGTGGGTTTGACTCCGATGTCCATCCATGGTACAACCCTGAACATGTCCAAGGCGTCATGGAAAATGATGCTTTCAAACTTCGCTGGAATAGGCCCATATACAGTCTCAGAACAATTCCAGCCAACAAACCTGATCTTGTCCTTTTTGATAAAGCCAATGAATTTATACATATCATTGAATTTTTTCTGTCCCTTTTGACAGCAATGTGATTGGCAATATTCAGGAAAAGCGTGATAAGTATGCGGACCTCGCCTTTGAAATGTCTCGCTTGCATCCCAAGTACACTGTCGTCAGGCTCCCCATTGTTCTCAGTGCCCTTGGTTTGGTACCTCCTGATCTCTTGGCGCAGATCAGGAGAGTGCCCGGGTTCTCCACCAGGAGCACAACCCTTCTGACACTCTGGGCAATGCAGAAGGCTGCAGTGTTGGGGAGCCTTCATATTCTCCGGAAAGTTCTTGGTGGGTTCGACTAGGCAGCGTTTCCTGGGAGAAGTCCCATTCGCTGTCTGGGCTGCGTGTAGAGGGGGCGAGGGCCCTGAGCTGATGATGAACCTTACCAGCCTGACTGTGCCAGGATCACCCAAACCCTCTCTGATGAATTTTCATCTTTAATCTGTAAAACATAATAATAATTCATTTATATAGCGCCTAGTATCCATCTGACTAGTTGCTCACTGGATGCTGTAAGCAGAATCTGATTATTATTATCCTGGATAACCCAAGCTGCCTGTTAGGCGCTAGAGGGTTATAGTCACATGACTTTATCGAACCGGGTACCCATTGTCTGCTGGCAATTTTGAACAAACTCACGTGCCTAAGGTGAGACCACATGTATCACATTTGCTTCGTTGTGGGGCAGTACTGAAGTCCTAGAAACTCTCAGGAGTCAAGCTACCAAACACGGTCACCCATCAAAGGACTGTCCGAGCTTGACGTTGCTTAACTTCAACTGATTCGTGACGTGAGCTCTACGCACAGGACCACACACCACCACCCAGGTCTTCACGGGTGATCACATAAGGCACTTAAGAACCATGTATGAACATTTGGAAATATATCAACCAAAATATTTTATACTAATATATATTTGTCTCTAAGTTATCTTACTATTGGTGTTAACAGATACCAGTTAGTCCATGTCCCCCTAATGACTGCAATCTGACCTCCCGATGCTTGGAAACCGGATGTGGAAACGATTGCGAGCAACGTAAGTGTTTCACGTAGAGTCGTGTTAAGGTTAATCTTCTTCTTTATCGTCTAGTGGAGGGTGTTATCGGTGCAATGAATCAATCTGATAAACTTGGTATCCAACTCTGATAACTATGCAAATTACGTCAATCCACGAACTACTTTCTCAAAACTCCATACATGCCATGCGAATCCTAAAACGTTAACATTTCAGTGTACATTGCGAGTTACATTGTTTGTCAACAAGCCACGCTGTCCCCATTATCAAAATTGGTGATTCTGTAAGAATTAATTACAGAGGTTCTGGAGACTTGGAAACCATGAAACGGAGAACTCCGTTTAAACTGAACGCACGGATTATTAGGCACGAGTGACAGGCCAAAGGCTCGCATAATACAACTTTTATTCCTAATATATGATATTAATGATACGGAAACACACTCGGTTAATAATCTCTATATCAGTGTCATCACTTTGGGCATACACGGCACCTACATTACAAAAATCGAAATGTGTTTGAAGTAAACTTTAATAAACTTGTAATATTTTTTTCTACGTTTTATGAGAAAACAGTGAGGCATAATATGGGTCCTATGGAGAGGCTGTCCAGCAAAGATCCAACATATCTCTCACCATTACATAACATCCTGCACATTCTAGTCCAATTCACATTCATAATTGATACCCGTGAAGGTCCGGGTTAGAATGAACCTTCAGTAACGGGATACGGTAGTCAGGCTCGCGGGCTTGGTTGACACATGTCATCGGTTCCCAATTGTGCAGATCGATGCTCATGCTGTTGATCACTGGATTGTCCGGTCCAGACTCGATTATTTACAGTCCGCCGCCATATAGCTGGAATATTGCTGAGTGCGGCGTAAAACTAAACTCACTCACTCACACATAATTGATATTGAAAACAGAACCTGGTATAAAATGTTTTCTGTGTCTTGTGAATGGAACCATAAATTGTGTTACAGCAACGCTGACTCCCTTACCACGAGATGCACAAGCAGAAGACGATCTACACCAAGCCTGTGAGACCGGGAATCTTTCAGCTGTACGACTTATCTTATGTCAGAGGCGGGTGGACATTAACTGCAGGCAGTCTGGATCGACACCGGTGATGCGAGCAGCACGAATGGGACATCTGGAGGTGATGAAGTTACTTGTGAACAAAGGAGCTAATGTATCACTTGCTAACACACCCGGTAACAATATGCTTCACCTGGCCTGTGTGGATGGCCCTGTGGAGGTAGTGCAATATGTCCTTCCATTGGACGTGGTGGATATAAACAGTAGAGGGTGGAACGAGAGAACGCCACTTATGATTGCAGGTATTACAGGAACGCTAAAAATAGTTGACGTCCTAGTAAGTAAAGGAGGTGATGTGTCACTTGTTGACAAAGACAGTAACAACATCCTTCACCTTGCCTATGAGAGTGGACAAGAAAATGTAGCGCTCTATGTCCTGTCATTGGGCGTGGTGGACATAAACAGCAGAGGTTGGAGACAGAAGACACCAGTGATGCTGGCAGCGGAAGCAGGCTATAACGAATTGGTTGAAAGCCTGGTGAGAAAAGGAGCTAATGTTTCACTCCTGGATACAGACGGCAACAACGTCCTTCACTTGGCCTGTGCGATGGGAAATGTAGAGGTTGTGAGGTATGTCCTTTCACAGGCCTTAATAAACATCGACAGTAGAGGACACGATGGGAAGACACCATTGATGCAGCAGAGGAAAGGCATAGAGCTTTAGTTGAGTTACTTATAAATAAAGGAGCTCATGCGCTGCTTGTGGATACAGACGGGAACAACTTCCTTCACTTGGCCTGTGAGCACGAATATGTGGAAGTGGCGCAATATATCCTGTCTCAGCACCTAGTGAACATTGATGTCAAGAACTTGAGAGGACAGACAGCAGTCATGATAGCAAGCGAAAAGAAGTTACGAGGTTTATTTGATCATCTGTAGGTGAGTGGCAGTGACGACAATTAGGTGAAATCATTGTCCATACATTTATGCAATATAAATACATCAACACCTTTGTATCCAGAGAGCGAGCAGAATGATGAAACTCCACCATCAACCAAGATGCCTGTACCTCACCATTCACTTCAACTCAACCTAAAGCTAAGTCTGAAATTAACCGAACAAAGAACACCTGTTTCAGCAACCAGTAATATGACCATGAACTTACTCATCTACTGACACCCAAAAGAAACGCTATTTAAGAGTAGTTTCTCAACCACACACCAGGCAAACCCCTATACGTCTTGAATTCGCTTCCATCAGGATCACCCGAAAGTCTGTTATCATCAGGGCCAATCGCCACATTCTTTCACTACCAACAGCCATCGACAGGATCGAGATGAAAACCTACCACTCTTAGAAGTTATCTTATGTGAGTGAGTGAGTTAGTATTTAACGTCACATCGGCAATATTGCAGCCATATCGTGACGAGAAATGTTTTATATAAATAATAAATTAGACTTGCTAAAGAATCAGTCAGCGAAGGACTGTAAAATAACTAGAGCATCACAGATGGAGTTTAAAACTAGCATGAACATGTAAAACTATTTTATTTACGAAGACAATACAATATAAAAACGGGCTATAGATCGCCAACAACTGAAGGTAGATCACCATACTAGGAACCATGGGGACTTACATTACCTTTGCTACCTGCATGGGCCCTAGTTGGATTTACACCATCCCTTCAGCCATTGGCGACAGAAGAGAAATCGAGCCATAAATTAAAAACACACTTATTCTACGATTAAAAAGCAGGTACACTTAGATTGACTCAATGTTTTGGGACTTACGTACCCTCTCAGGAGGACAATAATTTTACAATACTTCAACCCCCCTTTGAGGATACAGCCACTAACAATCTCAGTTGCTAATCTAAACTACCAATAATAAAATATATATCTATTTACAAATCACTCAACAAATCTAATTTTTTTTTAAAATGCAAGAATTAAATGAGAACTGACATTATAAAAAGATCCTTCAGAGTTTTGGATTTGAAATAGATATCCCTTTGTGATGGAATATTCAATGCAGTCAAGCAAGACATGCTTGACTGTGATTCTTTCGTCACAAGGGATGCAAAACGGAGGATCTTCGCCTTTAAGCAAATATTCATGGGTATATCTAGTATGGCCAATGCGACATCGCCGCATAATGACCTCTTCAAATCTGGACTGATAACCCAAGTAGGTGTAACCAATGTAGGGTTTTATTCCATGTAATTTATTAATACCTACTTGGGTGTCCCACTTCTTCTGCATTAGATCGCGGATGTATGTTCTAATGCTGGCTTTGTAATCAGAGTATGGAATTAGAAGTGGTGTCACAGATTTGTTGAGGGCTGCCTTAGCAGCAAGATCGGCCATTGTATTCCCAGAAATGCCAACGTGACTGGGTAACCAACAAAAGACGATGTCGCATTGGCCAGTAGCAAGTTCATTGTACAATTCAATAATGTCTAATAAAAGTGGATGTTTGCAAGAAAGATTTTTAATAGCCTGAAGACACGAAAGAGAATCTGAAAAGATGATATATTGTTTATATTTACGATGTTTATTAATATATTTAAGAGCTGTTAAGATGGCGTTTGCTTCTGCTGTGAAAATAGAGCTGTTTTTTGGTAGTCGAGAAGATATTGTTTTGGATCCAATGACAGTGGCACATGCCACCGCGCCACCATCCTTGGACCCATCTGTAAATAAGGATTTATATGTTTTGTATTGATTTCTTAATTGACTAAATTCTTGTTTATACTGTAATTCATTTGTTTCTGATTTTTTAAATGTAGTTAATGTAAGGTCAACTTCAAACCTAACCAACTGCCAAGGCGGAGAAGAAAGAAAACGGGAAGGAGCTATATATTCTAGCTCAATGCCAGCAGCAGAAAGGAAAGGTTTCAATCTTATACCAAGAGGCGGAACAAGAGAAGGCTTCTTGTGATACAGATCTTCATATAGTGGATTAAAGACACAGTTATATGCAGGGTTTGACTCATTGGAATAAAGTTTTGTAATATACTGTAAAGTTAATTTTATACGGCGTTGTGTTAGAGAGGGCTCATCTGCTTCAACATATAGACTATCAATAGGAGAGGTTCTAAAGGACCCAAGACAAAGTCTTAGGCCTTGGTTGTGGACAGAATCAAGTAGTTTTAGGTTGCTTGTGCAGGCTCCACCATATACGATGGAGCCATAATCAAGTTTCGAGCGGACCAATGATCGATACAGGTGGAGGAGGGTAGCTTGATCCCCCTCCCCACTTTGAGTTGGAAACAACTTTCAACAAATCGAGTGCCTTCAGGCATTTGGCTTTAAGTGATTTAATATGTGGCAAAAAAAGTTAAATGGGAGTCGAAAATTAGACCCAAGAATTTGGCCTCCTTAACAACTTTGATAGGAGTGCCATTTAAAGATAGTTCTGGATCTTTATGCGGTTTATATTTTCTACAAAAGTGTAGACAATTAGTTTTGGATTTGGAAAATTTAAAACCGTTTTCAAGACACCATTTATTTATTTTATTTAAACACAACTGCAATTGCCGTTCAATAGTATGCATATTTTTACCACGACAAGAAATATTAAAATCATCCACAAAAAGTGATCCATCAATGGAATCGTTTAAAACCTTGGATAAACTGTTAATCTTGATACTAAATAAAGTGACAGACAAAATACTGCCTTGAGGGACACCCTGATCCTGATTGTAATGATCAAAGTCATGTAAATCCCTCAAAATGCTATGCTTCCAGGTCGTATCATAAGCTTTCTCAAGATCAAAGAAAATTGATACAGCATGTTGTTTACTTACTATAGCATTCTTAACAAAGGATTCCAAGCGTACCAAATGATCAATGGTACTACGATTTTTCCTGAAACCACATTGAATATTGGTTATAAGGTTATTGGTTTCAAGATACCAAGTTAATCTATTATTCACCATACGTTCCATGGTTTTACAAACACAGCTAGTTAGAGAGATCTGTCTGTAATTAGACGGATCTGTATGATCCTTGCCAGGTTTTGGTATTGGGACTACAATGGCATTACGCCATGAAGGAGGAAATTCTCCAGACGTCCATATTTTGTCAAATATATCTAAAAGTGTCATCAGACATGGTTCCGGTAAGTGTTTCAGTAGCAGGTAATGTATATTGTCATCACCCGCTGCAGTGTCATGAGCTTGCTCAAGAGCAGTATGTAGCTCATCTAATGAAAACACTTCATTATAATCTTCACCGTTATTTGATTCGAAATTAAGTTTTGTCTTTTCCTGTTGTTTCTGATAGCTCTGAAACTCAGGGACATAATTTGCCGATGATGAATTTTTGGTAAGGGTTTCGCCAATTTTATTTGCAATGTCAGATTTATCAGTTATCAAGTTATCACCATCTTTAAGATGGTGTACAGCTGATTTTGAACCTTTGCCTTTTATTCGCTGAACCATGTTCCAAACCTTAGACATTGGCGTGCGCGAATTAATTTTGGAGACATAATTTCTCCAAGATTGTCGTTTGTTTTGTTTAAAGGTACGACGCGCCATTGCATTGAGTATTTTAAATTTATTTAAGTTATGGACAGTTGGATGATGGCGGAAATAACGCTCGGCCTTTTTCCTCGCTTTTCTGGCTTGTCTACAATCTGTATTAAACCATGGTTTTCGTACATGTGGAGTCGTAGAGGACTTTGGTATACACTCATCAGCTATTTCATTTAAAACATCAGAAAAAGTCTGAATGGGATCAGTTATATCACTGAAACAATCAGGTCGCAGTTTCGATTTACAGTTTGTTTGAAACGAAGACCAGTTAGCCTTCGAAAAGTTCCATCTCGTGTACGAAGGAGAATCAGATGGAGTTATTTCTGAAAGAATAGTTGGGAAGTGGTCACTTCCACAAAGGTCATTATGAACAGACCAATCAAATTCATTCAGGAGGTGTGAATCTGCAAGAGATAAATCCAAAGAAGAATAAGTGCCAGTTGCAGGATGCAGATAGGTGCTTGAATCATCATTAAATATGCACAGGTCATTATTGGAAATGAAGTCTTCAATTATTTTACCTTTAGTATTAGTGGTAGTACTGCCCCAGAGTGGGTTGTGACCGTTTAGGTCACCCATGATAACACATGGCTTTGGGAGTTGGTCATAGAGTGATTGAAGATCAGTCAGCTGAAGTGTCGATGAAGGTGGGATATACAGAGAGCACAATGTAAATGCTACACCCAGAGTAAGTCGCACTGCAACAGCTTGGAGATTAGTGTTAAGAGTAACAGGGCTGTGAATTACATTCTGTCGAATAAGGATAGTAGAACCTCCAGTGGCTCTATCACCTGGAGGGGAGAAATAATTATAGGCTTCAAACTGACGCAAGTTAAAAATATCCGTCTGTTTCAGATATGTCTCTTGCAGACAGAACGCTGATGGCGTTAAATCCTGGAGTAATAGCTGTATTTCATTAAAATTTGTCCGGAGTCCTCTACAGTTCCACTGCACGATATTGGTAGATAGACCTATCTTGGAGGCGGATTAATTGGGGATCTACCCCGCACCGTTTTCGAGGGCGACAAGCTATGTGCCCTAGAATGGACGTTTTCGGACACGTCCATATCCTCAAGTGATCCGTATTTGTTAAATAACTTGATTGTATCATCTGACCCCTTGGGGGCTCTGCCACTTTGTTTCTTTGAATCTGGCTTCGATTTGCCTTTGTTTTTAACGATTGTTT